CATCTACTCAGATCTTGATCTTGCTTAATGCTTTTTTTCTTTTAGTCTTGATTTTATATTCACCTGTACAGAATAAAATGGCTAATGGTGGATCCCAGGTTCTTATGTGACTTTTTAGTCTTGTTGTGTAACTCACGATATCTTTTAGTAGTCACACCTAGTTAAAGGAATTTTACTGGTATGTATTTTCCATTACCCAAAAAGTCAGATTTCCCAATAATCTTTTTATCTTGCAATGGTGAGAGAATTGTGGATAGTATAAGGATCCTCGTCGATTATGATATTATTACACAACATCTGAAGAAATGTATCCTCAATTCTAGAGAAGAACAGTGTTTTACATTTCTTTGCTTTTTAATCTTACAGCCTAATCAGGATAAGGAAATAACCTCCTTCACATACTTTATCTAACTGGGATAATAAGAAGTTAAAGGCCTCAGCTTTAATAAATAACCATCTTTTCACTATCTAAGAAATTTGGTGTCCATCCTAATAGCCTTATGATTTCTTTGCTTCAGTTAAACTTCATTTGGAGAAGTGGAGGAGTTCGTATCTTTGATTTCTCTTTCTATTACTAATGACATTATTAGAACATATGAGGTGATTAATAGAAACTTGTTTACATTCAGCTACTAATGTGTTTTGTGTCAACCAATCAGATATCAGATGATATTGTGCTATCAAAAATTTAGGGTCAAACTGAGGTAAGCAAAATCCCTCAAGAAAATCGTGAAAAACAGTAAGCACTTTAAAAGGGTATAAGATAGTATGTGAAAAGGTGGAAAATAAGCCTTTCTCTGTCAATAGAATCTCTATTTCTTGTTATTTCTAGCTCTGTGAGATAACACTTCACTTGTCAGTCCTTTTACTTCCTAGAATCTTCTTGCCTTTAATAGAAGAAGTATGTACTTGAGTCATTTCAGGCCACTAGAGGCTCAAGTTTTTATTCAAAGAAGTTTATAAACAAGTAAAGGGGAGGTAGAAGAGATAAATAAAGACAAGCTTCAAGTTGTTTTAATGAAAGTATAAAGACTTTATTAGCAAGGAAGTATAAAACTTTTTATGAATATCTTTTTTGTGTGTGGTCAGAAAATCAGTAAAAAGACTATTTTAAAGATCTTTATCTTTATATTACTTTTAACTTTAAAAGGTAATATTCTACCAATTGATTTTTTTATTTTCTAGAACTTTCTTATTTTTAGTAGAAAAATATCAGGAAATTTTTTTGATGAAGATCTCTGAAGATCTCTACCTGTTAAAATTTTTCTGGAAATTTTCAAAAAATTCTCTGAAAAACTTTAAAAATATTCGAAAATTTATAAAATAAAAATAATTTCATTAATTTTAATAATAAAAAACTTCAGAAATATTCAAAGTAATAATATGTATATTAAAATAAAATTAACCAATAAAATACTGATTAATTTAGCCAATCAAAAATTTAATTTATAAGTTGTTATAATTTTATCAATATAATTTTATTTTTAAAGCTATGAAATAATTTTCAAAAGGTAATGAAGAGTAGCATGTGGTCATAATATGACATAACTTCTTGGGATTTGATTATATAAGGTCTTTAAAGTCTTTTCTTTTTTATTAATGTCCAATAAAAAGAAAAGAAATACATAATATATTTCAACAAATAATTTCAGGTTCAAGCTCTGATGAAAAGGATATTTCAAAGTTCTTCAAAAAACCCAAGAGTACTTCTGGTATCCTAGGTTAAAAACTAACACCTCAAGTCAAAATAGAAACAATGCTGTTCTAGAAGTGATTAAGATCTTTTAGTTATATTCTAGAATCTTCATCTACTAGGAGGTTGCCCAAAGAATCTTTAGGTATATTAAATAAGATGTAACTATTTAAATAAATATTAATTTGTATATTTAGTTTCTAATATAGTAATCGTGAGGCTTTTGGAGTTCCACAAAAGTCTTATAAGAAAATTGATCAGTTATTAGAACATTAAAAAGCCATCGAGAATAAGGTTATCTACCTAGAAAACAAAATTCATATAAGTCAACATTTAATTATCAAACAGAATTTTATTAAGGTAAGGTTTAATTTTTTAATCTTTGAAGAACTTCAATAACATTTTGGATTTTATAATAGTGTGCAGTCAAGAGTATTATGAAAGAAGTCTTTTTTAAAAAAATATATGTGAATTCAGAAGATTTTTGCCAGCATGTAAAGGAATATTTTCAGTAAGAACATTTAGAGTTCTTCGAAGGCCTTACAAGAAAACATTGAAAAACATATTATGAAAAGCATATTCACCAAGCAGTAATTATTATAGCTATTAATAATATAAATGAATTTATTAACAGTATTATTTATTTAATAGCTTGCGAAACAATACAGGTCATTTCAAGGAATCATGGTTTCAAAAATCTGAAATATTATGTTTTCAATCTTTGACGAAAACTCCCTAGATCCAATCAATACAAATACAATCGCTACTGAAATTACAGTCTGGAAAAAATCACGAAAAATCCAGAAGTGTTTCAAAAATTTTCATATCTGTCCTAGGGGAAAAAACCAAAGTGTAATGGCACGCATTCTTGAAAAAGTTTGGTCAAAAGGGAATGCCACCAAAGAACAAGTTGTATTTACTATTGCAATATGTTAAATGATTCTAAATCTGAGTAATAAAAGTATTTTAATTAATGAAGCATTAATTAAAAGCAAAATAGAAAAAAATAAGGTAATTTTTAAAATTCTTCGAAGTATTTTAGAGTTATTTGTTTACTAATAATATATTTTAGGAAAAATTAAAAAGAAAATTGAATTTATGGAAAACAATTCAAGTGATAAAGATCAAGAAATATATAAGTAGGAATATATTAAAATTCAAAGTATTCCAGAGAAAATAAAAAATAATGAAAATGATCTGAAATTGCAATTAGAAAATGTAGAAATAGAAAGATCTACTTTGACAATAAGTAATATAAATATAAATGATTAATAAAAATGTAAAAAAAAGTAATTTTCAATAAATAAATTTTTAAAAATAAATATTTTAATGATAATATCAAATTATTTTATTAAAATTTAAAATATTTGAAAATCTTCAGAGTTCTATATATAAATATTTGCTCTGGAGACTTCTAATAATAATAAAGCACTTCCAGAAATTTACATCCAAAAATTTCTAAAGATTTTTGTCAAAAAAATTTCCTGATGTAGTTGCTCAAAATTATCTGATTTTCAAAGAAATTTTGTCTACTTCAGTTTGACTCTAAATTTTAGGTAATATAATATATTGTAAAATATGACTGGTGGATATAAAACATATTAATAGTGAAATATAAACAAGTATCTACTAGTTATCTCATGTATTTTGATGATATTATTAATAATAGAAAGAATTGATTGATGTTTCACTTCTGTTCCATACCTTCAATTGAATTAACCTATAAATAAAGTTTTATAAGACCAATAACATATAAGCAACAAGTTCTTAGGTGATAAAAAAGCTATTATTCATTCAAGTTAAGATCTTTCTCTCTTATTATTTCAGTCAGGTAACATTTAAAATTAAAATTTTCTTTTTATTCTAATCAGATAATAAGACTTAATAATTTTTAATTTATATTAAGTTTCAACCTTTTAATTATAGGTAAGAATATATTTTTCTAGAAGTTGTTAAAGGATATTGTAATTTATAAGAATTCCTATTACTTTTTAAAACCCTTATATCATTACAAGGCAAAAGAATTATTAAGAAATCTGACCTTTTAGGTAATATAAGATATATATTAGTAAAATTTTTTTAACTAAATATAGCTGTTGGAAAGTATTATACTGAAACAATATAGTTCAATTCTTATTGGATTATATAAGAACTTGAAGTGCATTATAAATCATTTCTTTATTATAGATAAATAAAAAATTACTGTCCATAAAAGGTTGAAATCAAGTGAATCCTAGAAGTAAAAGTTCTTACGAGGTAATAAGTTTCTTTAGATAGTAAATGAGAAGGAAATCAAAATTAAGAATAGATAAGTTTTTCAAATGATCAGAAGAAAAAAGATATTCTAATCAGATATTTCTTATTGAGAAGAAATCTTGAAAAGTAGGTCTTTAAAGGAAATTGAAAAATTTTTTTTTCAATTTTTACTTTTTTATTTTCTTATTGTCTACTTAGACATTTTTAAATATTTCTTTCTCTTTTTTTTCAATCTATTCTTTTGTAATTTCTTATATTCTAGCAGTTTTGTGTAATATATGATAGTAACAACCTGCTGACAATAATATAGTGAATTAGAAGGATCTTTATTCAAAGATATTGTGAAGTGAAATATTATCTTCAAAGTTAAACTTAAAGATTTTTGTGCTTACAATGAGTTAGTTAGATTAGAATAATACTTTAGCTATAATATATATTATACTGCTCAAATAAAAATAGACTTTTGTTTTTAATTGATTAATAAACTAATGATTTAGTTTAACTACAAGTACTTAAAAAAAAAAAATCCAAAAAAAATAAGTCATGTTAACTTGCCTGCAGATTAATAAAAATAAAAATAGTTTTCAATTGATTAATAAACTAATAATTTAGTTTAACTACAAGTACTCAAAAAAAAAAAAAACAAAAAAAATAAGTCATGTTAACCTGTCTGCAGATTAAAAAAAAATAAAAATAAAAATAAATTAGAAAATTTCAATAATTAATATTAGAAAATATAATTTAATTATAAATTAAAAAAATTTTTTTTATTATAATTAATTTTTTTTTTTAGTCTAGTTTTTAATTAAAAAAATTTTTAAACAAGAAAGAATGACTTTTAAAAATACTTATTAAATTGTTTTAAAACTTTATTACTGTAGTAAAAAAAGATTTTATAGTATAAATTTATTTTTTTGTACAAAATGTCATACAAATCATATGAAAATCTGATTGTAAGATAAGTCTATTTCAATACGCACCCGCATTGTAGCATGATATCATGTGATATAACTATTTGTGCACACTAAAATTTCATTTCGGGCGTTAGGTCATGAGCAACGTGTTTGGTGCTTTTGAATTTGCTCATTCACACTTGAATCACATGGCGGGAATATGGAAGAAGAAAAAGTCAAAACAGCCTTCGCCCGAAACAACAGATTCTGCATCACAAAAAATTGGTTATTCTGGATCACAACAAACGCACTATAATACGCAATCACCAAGGCAGGAGACTTTAATTCATTCAAGGAACCCCTCTCGCGACACCACTACCTCGAATGCTGGCACCTTTAGTACAAATGTGGTTCGAGGTACTGAGTCGGTCTCGAGTAGGATATCAAGTGCGTTTTCACCAGGTGAAATACAAAGCTGGATGGGTTATTACAGAGAAACCTTCGGTGGAAAAAATGATATACCACGACCATCTGATGAAAAGATTGAAGAAATGTTCTTAGAATTGATGGTATAGTTTAATTTTATATAAATTATTTGTTTTGGGGTGGGTACTATTACAAGAGCAAATTTTATTTATCAAATTAATATAGTGTAAAATTTATTCTTATCTTAGAATAAGAGAGATTTGAAGAATCTATCGGAATCGCACAGGAAGGCAATACTATCTATCCCAATCGAAAAAAAATGGTTGCTAGTAAAAAATGACTTGCTAGAGGAGGTGAGACTCTTATTTCATGTTGCCGATCAACTAAAAAGTTGATTAAAACAATTTTTTTTATATAGAAAACTAGACCTAACTCAACCAATATTGTAATATCTTCTCATGACAAGAACGCACCTGAATGGTATCTTAAAAGAATCTTAGATGGTACTATCACTGTCAGAGATATGAACTCTCTAAGCGTTGCCTTAAGAACGCTACCTATAACGTATGATATTTTTTTCTGTCCGACATTGAAAATACAAATCGCAATTCC